TCTATCTCTCCATCTCTTTTTCCCTTGCTCTCTTTCAAGCTGCGTGTGTGCGCGTGCATGGGGGAGCCCACACACACATGCCCATGTGCTTCTGTGTGTGTGTCAGGGGGTGGGTTTCCTTGTGGTTTTGGTGGGGTGTCTGGGTATCCATCAGACCCTCTCTCCAGGGATCAGGCTGCCAGCTCTAGTTTTAGCACCACACAAAGCCAGGCCCAGCTACCCAGGTGCCCAGGGGCTGAGTTCTAGAGACAAGTGACAGTGGTGGGGCATTGTGAGTAAAAGGGCCTTTGGGGCTGGGCAGGCTGTTCCCCCCTGGGCAGCCCTGGTGAACCTGGGTGAATGGGGAAAAAGCAGGCCTTGCAGGAGGGGTGGGGGGATCCTCCAAGGACCCTGAGCCCTAAGCCCTGATGCTTCAGAGCACATCCCATCCTGAACACCCCAAGTGGTGGAAGCTCAGGAGTGGGAAGAAGGCCTGGAAGGTCAATGGAAAAACAGCCGCCTGGAGAGGCCAGAGCCTGGTCAGGAGATGGAGGCCTTTGGCTTCTTGGTGTGGCAACAGGACTGCACAGCAGTGGTCCCCCGCTAGGTCTGCCTGACAGTGACTGCAGGAGGCTCCTAAAGGTAGTGGGAAGGCACAGTGGGGTTGCTGGTAGTGCTCAGGTGTAGAAGGGGAAAGTAGCCTGGCCCCAAGGAGAGCTGGAAAGTCCCTGATCTGAGCTTGGAGGCCCTAGGGTGGCGGTGATGTTGCAGTCCAGTAGGCATGGCCACGCAGGGCTCTTGAGGCTGCTGGGGTTGCTGCCAGCATCTCTGGCCAGACAACCCTAAAGGCGCCGGATCTTCTCTGATCTCGGAAGCTAAGCAGGGCTCAGCCTGATTAGTATTTGGCAGTGGAAGGCCACCTGGGAAAACCAGGTGCTGTCAGATTTTGGCTTCCCGCTGCCTCCCTCCTTTCCCCTTTGGTTGTCTTGCTTCCCAACCGTTCCCTGACTCTGCTACCCCTTTTCCACCCTTTTGCTCCCCTGCCTGAGTCCAGGACCTCTTAATGGGGGTCCACCACTAACTGGCCACCAAGCAGCAGCATCCAACCTCTTCTGCCTTGCCATAGCCCCACTAGAAGTTCAGCACCAGCCCGGACATGGCGGGGCAGGCCGGGACCCAACGCAGAAAGCACAGGCGTGGGTTCCCAGCCATTAATGGTGTCTACCTGCTCCTGGGATGCCAAGGCAATTCAATTGACTCATCCGGCACTGCTGCAACCATTCAAGCTGGGTAAAGGGGCAGGCAGGAGCGCAGTTTCTACAGATGCCAGCTAAGACCTCTGCTTCAGAACACATGGGCTGCTTTCCCCAGGGAAAGATCACTGCCTTCACCAGCCACCATGAAAACCTCCCTGTGCATCCAAATTCCCATTGCCACCTGCTTCATGTAAGCTTCAGTCTCGAGGACATGAGAGACACCAAGGCCTTGGGGCTGGTGCTCATACTCTGCACCACAGCTCTCGCCAGAAGGACCACTCTACAAATCTCAGGGCCCACTGCACCAAGAGGGCAAGAAGGAGCCAACAAACAAGAACCCTATAAAACACACCACCAAAGCAACCAACCAATCCAAGAAAAAACATGTCTCGGAGCTCCCTTGGTCCTCTGTGGGCGGCCCTGCCACCCAGTTCTGGCCCCACCCAAGCACCTTCCACCCTACCCAGCCTGCTCAAAGGGGTCCTGTCTACCAAAGCAGAGCACTCCCTCTCTAAGGCACTATCAGTCTCACTCTCTAGCTCCTCACCCCCCCTTTTTCTTCCCTCTCCATCTGGTGCACTCTCTGTCACATCTCCCTCTCCCTCTTCCCTCTTTCTCTATTACTGTCTCTCTCTCTCTCCTTTTCTATCTCTCCATCCCTCTATCCCCTACTCTCTTTCAAGCTTTGTCTGTGTCTTCGTCTTTGTGTCTGTGTGTGTGCATGTGTCCCCGCTCGTATGTGCCTCTGTGTATCTGTGTGTGTGGAGAGGAGCGTTTGCTCATGGTAGTGGTGGGGGGTCTGGATGTCCATCAGTCCCTTTTCCCCCAGCATAAGGCTGCTGGCTCTATTGCCAGCGCGGGTGCTGAAGTTGAGGTGATAGTCTCACACAGGCAGGTTTGTGGATCTTGTTAATTTTCATGTAGGAAATGAGAGTGCAACCACAGAGAATGATTACTGTCTCCCTGCATCAGGGAGAGTTTCCAATATGGCCTGTTTGGAAACTGGAAAAGGGAGCACTGACGCGATGCTGGTTTTCCACCCTTTTCTGGAAGTCTCTGTGTCCCCACAGAGCTCGGGAAACAGTCCACAGAATCATTTCTCTCCTTCCTTCCCTCCTACCCTCCCTCCTTCCCTCTCTCCCTCTTTGCTTCCCTTCCTCCCTCAGTCCTTCCCTCCATCACTTTCTCACTTTCTCCCTCCCTCTCTTCTTCCTTCCCTCCCTTAGTCCCCTCTTTTTTTTTCCCTCCCTCCCTTTCAAGGTCCCTCTATTCATCTGTCCTTTCCTCCCTCACTCTCTGTCTCTGTTCCTTTCCCCTCTCTGCATGCCTTCTCTCCTGCCTGGAAAGGGCTGCACCCGGGCTTGCACAGTGTCTCAGGGTCTGCATTTTGCTGCCAGGCACTCCACAGTGATGGCAAGTACGCTGGCAGGACACTGGTGGAGAGTGATGGCAGAGCGGGAAGGCAGAGAAGGCAAGCTGCCAAAAGGAGAGCAAGGCTGGCTGCTGCCTGGGCTTGGCATTTCCCGGGACAAACATCTCCACCCACCCCACTAAAGAACACGGCAGAAAAAGGGATGAGACCTCTGCTTTGGCTGGTCCAGAAGCCTGGCCTGCTGTTTGTGGACCCCTGTGACTCAGCTTGAGCGGGTCCAAGTTGTCCCACGAAGCCCATGCCCAAGTAGGCTGCCTTGCTGCAGGATCTAGTTCCCCAAATCTTTGGGGTGTGGAGGTCACTGAGGAGTCTTAGGGTGCGCATGCCACTTCCGGAGGAACCAGGGCAGCAAACTGAAAATTCCCCAGTGCCGAGGAAGGTTGGGAGATTTCTTCTGCCTGTGAAGCCTGGCTGTGCTGGAGCAGAGGGATGGCCTTTGCTGCCTGGCTCATGGAAGCCCTCTGGCCAGTTCCTTTCCCATGATGATGCCTGGAAAGCGATCTTTCTGAACTGCTCAGAAGAGCATGATGTTCTGGGATCCAGTGACTGCAGCCTGCATTCACCTGCCTTCTTCTGTGCTGCGTTTTCCAGTCCAGGGACCAGATGCCCACCTGCCACTGCCTCAGCTGGCCTGATCTCTCATTCTGAAACCAATTCTGGACCTTGGGCTCTGGAGTGCCTATCACTTGGGCCAGCTGTACTCTGGTGGAGATTCCTGATTAAGGCTCCACTCAAAGAATTTTTGCAGGGCATCCCTTTGGCTCTGGGTCCAAATGAGTCTCTTCACAGGGACAGGACTGTCTGAAGGTGTGGAGAGAACCATCCCGGGGAGACCTGGCCAGAATTTCACAGTCAGACACTAGCAAAGATAGGCTGGTGGGCTTCTGTGCCCCTCAGTTGAACTTTGCACAGCACACAGGTCCAGCCAGGAGGCTGGCCTCACCAGCGACTTTTATAAAGACTTACCAACCCCTCCATTCATTAATATACATGAAATCTGGGGCCCAAGTGGCCCAGGTAGCCCTGATTCCGAAGCTGAAAACCACCGGGACCAGGGCCTGTGGGGTGGGTGAAGGTGGGGTCAGAGAGGAAGGGGAAGGGGTGCTTTCGGGGCTGGCTCTCTGCGGTTCTCCAGGAATTCCACAGAAACTGGAAGGTCTCTCTCGGCTCACACACGTTTTCAGGGAGAAACCACCCTGGAAGTGTGGAGTATGGAAATGAACCTCCAAGACCATCTTGAGTTTTTCAGGCCCTCTCTCTGGGAAGGACACAATGGTTATGGGTATCACGTTTGCTGTGATAGTCTCATTCATGCAGGTGTGTCTCACTCACACAGGTGTGCCGGTCTTGCTCATTTTCCTGTAGAAATGAGAGCGAAACCACAGAGAAAAGAAACATCTCCTGCATCATAGCCTGAGGATGGATTTCTCTCTGCCTTCCACTGTCTCTTGCTGTCTCTCTCCCTCTGTCCTCCCCTTCCTCCCTCCCTCCCTCACTGCCATCCTTTCTTCCTTTCTCCTCCCTTTCTCCTTTCCACTGTCCCTCTGTATTTTTCTCTCTCTATCCCTGCATTTCTCTGTCTCTGTTACTTTCTCCATCTCTATTTTTCAACATTATATGATCCAGTTGTGTGTGTCAACATTTTTAGCAATAAAATTCATTTTCATTAATGTATGTACATTATTATTTAGAAATCTTATTTATGTATTGCATTTGTTTATTAAACATAAATCTATTTCAGATTTATTTTACAGCATAGTGTAAGCATAACTTTTATAAGCAGTGTCAACCCAAAAATTGCATGACTCACATTACTGTGATTCTTTTCTATTGCAGTGGTGGAGAACAAAAGCTCTATACCTCCAATTAATATCTTTGTATTATCGTTTAATTGGTCCCATTTACTGGAGTGATTGAACACTATTTCCTGACTATTACAAGAGCTGTGGGCTGTGGGGAGGTCAGGGTTAGGATGACGCAAAAGTGAAGATAAGATATTCTCATTTTCACATCTATGGTAAATACAAATTCCATATGGAAGAGAGACAAATTATCTTAAAATTTAAAATTCTAAACAGCATTAATGTTTATTTTATTATTACATTGAATGAAAATTATAAAGAACCAAACAAATAATACACTTACACAGTGAAAGACTGTATGATGTCAGTGTAAAATACAAGTCGAACATATGTCAAATACAACAAAATATACTGTATTGTAGTATATTATGAAATCTTCATATTCTGTAATACAGTGCAATCAATTGAAATGTGTAAAATACAATATAATTTAAATCTAGGATGCTTAAAATAAAAATACATGAGGCAGCTGAAAAAATAAGTACAACCATTTTCTGTTTAATATATCTTGACTTAAATTTTATGTAAAATATTAAAAGTAGACCAATTACATAGTGATTTTACTATAATTATATCAAACTGTAAAAATGTATAGACATTTTCCCACAGGTAATGCTATTCTTGGTTTATGGATATTAATACTCCATGGGTTCAGGCTGGAAGAGTGAGAACCTACAACCATTTCTGAATTTAAAAAGGAGCAATTTCTTGGTAAGGCAGCTCATGTCTGTAATACCAGCACTTTGGGAGACCAAGGCTGGTGGATCACTTTTGTTGAAGAGCAATCTGGACAACATGACAAAAATCTCTCTCTGCTAACAATATGAGGAAAAAAATTAGCCAAAACTATGTCTTTACTAACAATACAAGAAAAATACATGCCTTTAGTCCTAGAAACTTGGGAGGCTGAGGTATGAGAATTGTTTGAACCTAGGAAACGAAGGTTGCAGTGAGCTAAGATTGTGCCACTGCACTTCAGCCTGGGTAACATAGGAAGACTCTGCCACCAAAAAAAGCATATAATTTTATATGTACTTTCCTACAATCTAAAATATGCAAACTCATATGATTAGGTTCCAATAGTTTCCTGATTCCATATAAATGCACAACTGTCATCAGATATCCAAAAGGCACCAAATATCTAACATGAAGTAGAAAATCAGTCTGTAGCCTTCGCGGTCTGCAAAATGCAGGGCTTACCATTCTGAGTATATTGTTTAAGTTTTTTCCTGTGACTGCTTCAAGTTCTGCTATTTATTAAGACAGTGCATTTAAAATCATTGCTGCTGGTCATTTGGAAGAATCTGAGAAGTAACAGGTCCTTGTTCTCATTCCCAGAGCTGCATCCTCTGCTGAATAGGGTCAAGGTGCTCACAGCTCAAGCCTCATCTGATCCACTGACCGATTCAGTTATCTCCTGGCCAGGGGAGGGGTGGATCTCTATCCAGGGCTGAATCCCAAGGACCAGGCAGTGTGTCTGGGACAAGCCAGTCCTCAGCAGGGAAGGCATAAGCTGCCTGAGTGGCCATGGCATAGAAGGTCTGCACATGAGCACACAGAGCTCCCCGGAGCTGAGTGAGCCATGTGAACTGCTCCCAGGTCAGTGGAGAATGGACAAGCTGTGCCCACACCTGAGCTAGGTCTTGATAAATAGCCTCCGATGTAGCTCTCACAGAGGTCACCAAGCTTTTTCGAAGTGACGGTGGTTGAACTCCTAGTGCCCGAGACCTGTGCTGCTTGCTGTGTCCAGTGCGAGCCCTCGAATGTCTCCTATGGTGGGCATCACAGGTCTCCTGGATCTCACTGTTGTGCACAGCAGTGGAGGACTTTGACTTTTTTTTCATTGTTAAGCTACACTCCTCTTTTGGACAGTTCCCTACAGAGAAAGCACGTGAGAAACTCGCCAGAACAGTTCCCACAGACTCTCATTTGCAGAAACTCCTGTGTGCTCAGGTGGACCACACTTGTCTCTCCCACTCCTTCCTGACCACCTCACCACTGGAATAAAGTGAGGCTTAACTGCTTCTGAGTCTCCAAATGTATTCTGGATGCTAAGATCTCAAAAAATTTTTTATCACTAAGTAACTCCCTTCCTGCTCAAGCCTCCTTTAAAAGGTTTCTGATTATTTGCCCTTTGGGGAAAAACAAACAAAACAAAACAAAACCACCACAAACAACAAAAAACACCAAGATCCTACCTGCTCTGTCTTGGCAGCTCTCCTTGGAACTGGTTGTTCTTTTCCTGCAGTTTCCCTGATATGAGCTGGACTCTGGTTCTGCAGATAAAATGAGCATTTGAGAAAGTGCCTCCAACTGAACACCCTGAAATTCAAATTCCATTCTGGACACTCAGGAGCTGAGGTTACCACCAAACCCCAGCTCTCTTCTGTTCTCCAGTGTCCAAAATCTGTAGGGCCCTGGAAGCCAATAAACTCCCAGTTTCCTTGCCAGGGTAGCCTATGTTGCTGTCCTGTTCCTTCCCACCTTGAAAGATTCAAATCTTACCTGATCTAGCAGTGCTGTTTCCGGCTTTGAGCTTGGTTTTCTCAGAGTTCTCCTCGTTTGGATTGGGCTCTGATCCTACTGCAAAAGAAAGTTTAAGTAACTCACCTCTCCCTAGGCAGAGTCCCATAGTCTATCTCTGATGCATTTGTGTGGACAGTCTTCCAAGTGAAGCTCTTTTGCCAGTGTCATGAATGAACACACTTCTCAAAGTCCCCTGAGGACACTAAGCCATTTCTCATCCCCAATCTCAAAATAAAACCCTACCAAAGACACATAGCTCAGTATCCCTGATTCCAGCCCTCCTTCCAGCCTCCACAGAAACAGCCCAAGGGCTTACCTTGACTTTGTATGTGATTCTCACTGGATTGAGAGGAGCTGGTCTTGTCTTTTGTTTTGAATGGTTTCTTCTCATCTGAGCCCTGTTCTGTAAAGGAGATCTGTTGGAAATGGGGCTGGACTGTGGAGCTTTGGATAGAGGAGTAGTGGAGATCGGAGTCTTCATTTCCCCTTCCCATGTTGAAGCTCAAGTGAAAGGTGCTCTCTCTTACACGTCCAAATGCAGAGTGTGGGTTAGTCTGCCGGACTTGCCTTTTATGCCTCCCTCTGCTGGGCGTGGCTTACTCTTATTGGCTGAACGGTTTTCTCCTATCTATTACTTATTAGAGCCTCAATAAGGTTTCTTACTGTAGTTCTACTGGGGACCCAGCCACAGTTAAAGGGAGACATTTTCAGAATCCTGTCATAGTGTCAAGAAAACAAAGAACCAGGAGCACAGGGATCAGAAGATCAGGGAATCGTTCTTTCTGATTTCTGTCTCAGTTCCTGTTGCAAGTATTTATGATCCTGTTCATCTTTCAAGATGCAGAATTAGACATACTTATATTGACACATGTTATATATTTTGCACAGAAAGAGAATTTATTATACATAGTGTTAAAATTCTATGCTTGGATATTATCATTTCTTTAATGCTTGGAAACAACAAATGTCAAATTTTGGTTGATTGTATTAGATTCACACAAATGTGATAAAATGAAAATGCAGAGAACGACTAAATACCAAATAAAATGGCCCTTCCTACCTTAAATATGAGGAAGATAATTAGATCACATGCAATACAATTTAATGATTGAGTTAGAGCCTATGCTAACCTAATCAGCCCCCGATTTCTGAGGTAGCAAAAAGTCTAGGTAGAAAAACTTTCCCCCTTTCTCACCCTTCCTCAGTCTTCCCAGGAGCACCACTGTGTTGTATGGGATTTATTCAGGCTCCCTGGTATAAATAGACTTGGTTCCAAACGGTAACACAACTGATCACAAGAAAAACAGCCTAGCTTCGGAATATTCAGCTCTCATTTTCACACAGCAGACACCACCTGAATCCCATCAAAGCCCACAGTGTTTCCAACAACCACCATCAAGATACACTCCAGAGCAGCCTCTCAAAATTGTCTCAGCGAGACAGGACAAGGTGTGGTGGAGCTCCAGGTTCAGAACAGCTGCCTCATCACTTCCTTCTGCGAAATCTGTCTCTGCTGGTCAGAGCCCTCAAACTATAGAAGGCTTAGTCCCAGCAAGTGTTCCCTAAACGGACCTTCTTGTCTCCCACTCTTCTGAAAAGAGTATTCAGGAATGAGACATTCTGTTAGGGAGTACTCAGCCTCCAGTCCCAAATGACTTGATTGACTGATGAACTGATTCTCTGAGGAGGAGAAAGACAGAGGTAGAGACTGTGTTGGGTGAGTCGCAGTTTCCCCAGCTGTGCAAATAGTGGAACCAAAAAAAAAAAATTAGCGGTGGACAGACACTGCCTAATGAAATTGTCTGAATGTAAATTGAAATTATCGTAGTAACATTATGCATTATAATATAATATCATATAAAATTTATTTCACCTACAAATACATTTTGAAAGATTACAATATAATATTATATAAAATTGGAGGACTCAAGATGGTGCTGTGAGAACAACCCAGGATTGGAGCTCACATTGAATCCGCAAACAGTGAGTCTGAGCTGCATTTCCAGACTGATCTTTGTTGGCCACAGAACGGGGAAACTCCCAAGTATAAAAAAGACACGGGAAGCAAGGCAGTAGGTCTGCCTGGCGAAGCCAGCAGCCAGGGCGGCGGCGGCCGGCCCTACCCAGCAATCCCCACAGGGCGCGCTTGTCCGGGTGCCTTGTTGAACTGGCAACCTGAGACTTGAGAGGGCTGGACTTGAGAATGAACGAGACTTGGACAGTAGGCCAGCCAAGGGGATTGTAGAGACAAATCGTTTGGGATACCCAGTGGGACGAACAAAACTGCGATTTCAAACTATCCCGAGCAGACAACCCGAGACGCTTTGTGGGAGGGGCGTCCACCACTACCGAGGCAACCCGCCCCAACTGAGATACACGCCCACTGCTGACGCAGCCAGCCGTTGCCAAGGCAACCCACCCAACTGAGATACACACTCACTGCTGACGCAGCCTGCCAGTGCCAAGGCAACCCGTCCCTACTGAGATACAAGCCCACTGCTAACACAGCCTGCCATTGCTGAGGCAACACGCTAAAACGAAGAGACTCTGCCGCAGGGCGTGGCGGAGACCACAGCAGAGCCTGCAGGAACAGGGTGAATCACACAACAGCAGGGCGGAGCCTCGGCAGCCAAACAGTGGCTAGTCTGCCTTCTAGCTGGGCAGGACACCTCATTGAACATCCATAAATAAAGCCCAAACCCCTCAACACAGAGCATTTGAGGAAAAAAAAGGGGTTTCTTAATGAGCTCTGTTGCAGCAGAATCAAACATAGCAGCCTAACAGCCCTGAAGGAACAACAGAGTGCACAGCTCAGCAATTAAACCCCTATAAAGTACAAACTGTCTCATCAAGCAGCTCCCTGACCCCTCTATATCCAAAAGACTGACATTAGGCAGGCATCATCCTGGGACAAAGACAGCAGAAAAAGAAACTGGTAGCATCCCTCGCTGTGCCACAGCTGCTAGAGGTGCACCCCAGACAAGCAGGGTCTGGAGCGGACCTCAGCAGTCGTACAGCAAAGGGACTAGACTGGTAGAAGGAAGATCAAGCAACAGAAATACTTCATCATCAACATTCTGGGTGTCCACTCAGAGACCCAATCGAAAAGTCAGCAACTACGCAGACGACCAGCGGACAAATCCACAAAGATGGGAAGAAACCAGTGCAAAAAGGAGGAAAACACCCGAAACCAGAACACCTCGCCTCCTAGAAAGGACCAAAACTCCTCACCAGCAAGGGAGCAAAGCTGGACGGAGAATGACTGTGACGAAATGACGGAATTAGACTTCAGAAGATGGATAATGAGAAACTTTGGTGAGCTAAAAGATCATGTATTAAATCAATGCAAAGAAACTAAGAACCTTGAAAAAAGATTTGAAAAAAGATTCGAGGAAATGATAACAAGAATGGATAACTTAGAGAGGAATATGAATGAATTAAAGGAGATGAGAAACACAATACGAGAACATCGCGAAGCAAACACAAGTTTCAATAGCCGAATTGACCAAGCAGACGAAAGAATATCTGAAGTCGAAGACCAACTCAATGAAATAAAACGAGAAACCAAGATCAGAGAAAAAAGCGCCAAAAGGAATGAACAAAGTCTCCAAGAAATGTGGGACTATGGGAAAAGACCTAACCTACGTTTGATAGGTGTACCAGAAGGGGACGAAGAGAATGAATCCAAGCTGGACATCATCCAGGAAAATTTCCCCCACCTAGCAAGACAGGCCAACACTCAATTGCAGGAAATACAGAGAACACCACAAAGATATTCCGCAAGAAGAGCAACCCCAAGGCACATAATCGTCAGATTCCACAGGGTTGAAATAAAGGAGAGAATACTAAGGGCAGCCAGAGAGAAAGGTCGGGTCACCCACAAAGGGAAGCCTATGAGACTCACAGCAGATCTCTCGGCAGAAACACTACAAGACAGAAGAGAGTGGGGGCCAATATTCAACTTTCCTAAAGAAAAGAACTTTCAACCCAGAATTTCATATCCAGCCAAACTGAGCTTCAGAAGTGAAGAAAAAATAAAATCCTTTGAGAATAAGCAAGTACTCAGAGATTTTGTCACCACTAGGCCTGCTTTACAAGAGCTCCAAAAAGAGGCACTACACATAGAAAGAATCAACCAGTACCAGCCATTCCAAAATCACACTGAATGCTAAAGAGCTTCAACATAATGAAGAATCTACAACAACTAACAGGCAAAACAGCCACTTAGCATCAAAATGGCAGTATCAAATTCACACATAACAATATTAACCCTAAATGTAAATGGACTAAATGCACCAATCAAAAGACACAGACTGGCAAATTGGATAAAAATCCAAAACCCATCAGTGTGCTGGATCCAGGAAACCCATCTCACATGCAAGGATACACAAAGGCTCAAAATAAAGGGATGGAGGAAGATTTACCAAGCTAATGGAAAGCAAAAAAAAGCAGGAGTTGCAATTCTCATCTCTGATAAAATAGACTTTAAAGTAACAAAGATCAAAAGAGACAAAGAAGGCCATTACATAATGGTACAAGGATCGATACAACAAGAAGAGCTAACGATCCTAAACATATATGGACCCAATGTAGGAGCACCCAGATACATAAGGCAAGTTCTTAATGACTTACAGAAGGACTTAGACTCCCACACCATAATAGTGGGAGACTATAACACTCCACTGTCAATACTAGACAGATCAACCAGACAGAAAATCAACAAGGATATCCAGGGCTTGAACTCAGACCTGGAGCAAGCAAACCTGATAGACATTTACAGAACTCTCCACCCCAAATCCACAGAATATACATTCTTCTCAGCACCACATCACACCTACTCAAAAACTGACCACATAATTGGAAGTAAAGCACTGCTCAACAAATGCAAAACAACTGAAATCATAACAAACAGCCTCTCAGACCATAGTGCAATCAAGTTAGAACTCAGAATTCAGAAACCGACCCAGAACCGCACAGCTTCATGGAAACTGAACAACTGGCTCTTCAATGTGGACTGGGTAAACAATGAAATGAAGGCAGAAATAAAGGAGTTCATCGAAACCAATGAGAACGAAGACACAACGTGCCAGAACCTCTGGGACACATTTAAAGCAGTCTCTAGAGGAAAGTATATAGCAATAAGTGCCCATATGAGGAGAATGGAGAGATCCAAAATTGACACCCTATCTTCAAAATTGAAAGAGCTAGAGGAGCAAGATCAAAAAAACTCAAAACCCAGCAGAAGACAAGAAATAACTGAGATCAGAGCTGAGCTGAAGGAGATTGAGACACGAAAAACCCTTCAAAAAATCAATAAATCCAAGAGCTGGTTTTTTGAAAAGATCAACAAAATAGACAGACCACTAGCCAGATTGATTAAAAATAAAAGAGAGAACAACCAAATAGATGCAATAAAAAATGATAAAGGGGAAATCACCACAGATTCCACAGAAATTCAAACCATCATCAGAGAATATTACAAACAACTCTATGCACATAAACTAGTAAACCTGGAAGAAACGGATAAATTCCTGGACTCCTGCATCCTCCTAAGCCTAAACCAGGAGGAAGCTGAAACTATGAATAGACCAATAACAAGGTCAGAAGTCGAGGCAGCAATTAAGAGCCTACCACACCAAAAAAGCCCAGGTCCAGACGGGTTCACAGCCGAATTCTACCAGACACACAAGGAGGAGCTGGTACCATTCCTTCTAAAACTATTTCAAACAATCCAAAAAGAGGGAATACTTCCCAAATCATTTACGAGACCAACATCATCCTGATACCAAAACCCGGCAGAGACCCAACAAGAAAAGAAAACTTCAGGCCAATATCCATGATGAACATAGATGCAAAAATCTTCAATAAAATATTGGCAAGCCGAATGCAACAGCAAATCAAAAAACTTATTCACCATGATCAAGTAGGATTCATCCCGGGGATGCAAGGCTGGTTCAACATAAGCAAGTCTATAAACGTAATTCACCACATAAACAGAACCAAAAACAAAAACCACATGATTATCTCAATTGATGCAGAGAAGGCATTTGACAAAATTCAACAGCCCTTTATGCTAAAAACCCTCAATAAACTCGGTATCGATGGAACGTATCTCAAAGTAATAAAAGCTATTTATAACAAACCAACAGCCAATATCATACTGAATGGGCAAAAACTGGAAATCTGGCACTAGACTAGGATGCCCTCTTTCACCACTCCTATTCAATATAGTTCTGGAAGTTCTAGCCAGAGCAATCAGGCAAGAAAAAGAAATAAAGGGTATTCAAATAGGAAAGGTGGAAGCCAAATTGTCTCTATTTGCAGACGACATGATAGTATACCTAGAAGACCCCATTGCCTCTCCCCAAAAACTCCTGAAACTGATAAACAACTTCAGCAAAGTCTCAGGATATAAAATCAATGTGCAAAAATCACAAGCATTCGTCTACACCAATAACAGACTTAAAGAAAGCCAAATCAAGAGCGAACTGCCATTCGCAATTGCTACAAAAAGAATAAAATACTTTGGAATACAACTCACAAGGAACGTAAAAGACCTCTTCAAGGAGAACTACAAACCACTGCTCAACGAAATCAGAGAGGACACAAACAGATGGAGAAACATTCCATGTTCATGGTTAGGAAGAATTAATATCGTGAAAATGGCTATACTGCCCAAAGTAATTTACAGAATCAACGCTATCCCCATCAAGCTACCATTGACTTTCTTCACAGAACTGGAAAAAACCACCATGAACTTCATATGGAACCAAAAGAGAGCGCGCATAGCCAAGTCAATTCTAAGCAAAAAGAACACAGCGGGGGGCATCACACTACCGGATTTCAAACTATACTACAAGGCTACAGTAATCAAAACAGCATGGTACTGGTACCAAAACAGAGATATAGACCAATGGAACAAAACAGAGGCACCGGAGGCAACACAACATTCATACAACTATACAATCTTTGATAAACCTGACAAAAACAAGCAATGGGGAAAGGATTCCATGTTTAACAAATGGTGTTGGGAAAACTGGCTAGCCATGTGCAGAAAGCAGAAACTAGACCCCTTCCTGACACTTTACACTAAAATTAACTCCAGATGGATTAAAGACTTAAACATAAGACCTGGCACCATAAAAACACTAGAAGGAAATCTAGGCAAAACCATCCAGGACATAGGAGTAGTCAAGGACTTTATGACCAAAACACCAAAACATTGGCAACAAAAGCCAAAATAGACAACTGGGACCTAATGAAACTCCACAGCTTCTGCACGGCAAAAGAAACAGTCACTAGAGTGGATCGGCAACCAACAGAATGGGAAAAAATTTTCTCAGTCTACCCATGTGACAAAGGGCTGATATCCAGAATTTACAAAGAACTCAAACAGATTTATAGGAAAAAAACAAACAAGCCCATTCAAAAGTGGGCAAAGGATATGAACAGATACTTTACGAAAGAAGACATATATGAGGCCAGCCATCATATGAAAAAATGCTCATCGTCACTGGTCATCAGAGAGATGCAAATCAAAACCACATTGAGATACCATCTCACGCCAGTTAGAATGACGATCATTAAAAAATCTGGAGACAACAGATGCTGGAGAGGATGTGGAGAAAAAGGAACACTTTTACACTGTTGGTGGGAGTGTAAATTATTTCAACCATTGTGGAAGACACTGTGGTGATTCCTCAAGGTTTTAGAAATAGAAATTCCATTTGACCCAACAATCCCATTACTGGGTATATATCCAAAAGACTATAAATCGTTCTACTATAAGGACACATGTACACGAATGTTCATTGCAGCACTGTTTACAATAGCAAAGACCTGGAGTCAACCCAAATGCCCATTGATGATAGACTGGATTGGGAAAATATGGGACATATACACCATGGAATATTATGCAGCAATCAGAAATGATGAGTTTGTGTCATTTGTAGGGACATGGATGAATCTGGAGAACATCATCCTCAGCAAACTGACACAAGAACAGAAAATGAAACACCGCATATTCTCACTCATAGGTGGGTGATGAAAAATGAGAACACATGGACACAGAAAGGGGAGTACTAAACACTGGGGTCTATTGGGGGGAAAAGGGGAGGGCCAGTGGGAGGGGGAGGTGGGGAGGGATAGCCTGGGGAGAAATGCCAAATGTGGGTGAAGGGGAGAAGAAAAGCAAAGCACACTGCCATGTGTGTACCTACGCAACTGTCTTGCATGCTCTGCTCATGTACCCTAAAACCTAAAATCCAATAAAAAATTTAAAAAAAATTATATAAAATTTTGTCAGGTAATTTTATTAAAAAATCAATTCAAATTTTGTAACAACATTAACATAGAAACTTGATAGAAAGCTAGAAATATTATCTGCTCTTGTGTAAATGACTGCTTTTTAGTTAACTCTGTAAAAGGTGTGAAGAGAGGTCTGCTACTTACTTGATGAGACATCGACTTCCAAATCTTTGCTGTTTTTAACCAGTGCTCTCTCAAGATATGAGAATATTTTACTGAAAGAAACCATTTTCATATGTATCATAAGAATTTTGTTTATTTTGTTAATAAATTATTATAACATTTATTGGTTATTAATAGTTTATGTCATTGTTAAAATATACTTCTACAGATAACACATAATATTGGTGTTTTGATTTGTTTTTTAACCTTAGCTAAGTCAATTTATTCAATTTTTATTTATTAAATTCTATTTATTTTATATAAAAGAGACCTTGTAGTTGTCATATTCTGTACTTTGTTAGAAAGACAAATTCTCAGGCAAAATTCAGGCCTGGCAAGGCATGGTGGCTCACACCTATAATCTCAGCACTTTTTGAGAGCTAGTTGGGTGGATCACCTGAGGTTAGGAGTTTGAGACCAGACTGGCATATCTGTACTAAAAATACATTAAAAAATCTGGGTGTGGTGGTGCATGTCTGTAATCCCAGCTACTCAGAAGGCTGAGGTAGGAGGATCACTTTAACCTGGAAGAGGAGATTTCGGTGAGCCGAGATCACACCACTGCACTCTAGCCTGGATGACAGAGCAGAAGACCGTCTTGAAAAAAGAAAAAAACTCAGACCTATTTTTATCAAAATCTAGATTTCAAATAATGTTTCTAGGTGCCCCCTTTCAATAAAA